CAGGGCGTCTGCAGCCCGACAGTCCTGGGGGCATCTGGTTGTTTTCAGCCTCACACTCGGGCCCTCACCTGCTGATTCACATGGCTGGTTTCGAAGCACTTGCTGCCACCCTCGGGGTTTATTATTTATTTCAGCAGGACTCTTAGTCAGAAGCAGCCCTGGTCGGCGTGGCTTGAGGGAAGAAGAGAATTTTGAGGCTCATGAACAGGAAAAGCCCCAGGGCAGTTCCAACCTTCAGCAAAACAGGGCTCACTGCTCAAAATAATATTGGCTGGACTCTTGTCTTCCCCCCACCTTCCAACTCTGCACCCCTCTGTGTGGGCTTCATTCTCAGGTGGGCCCCTGGTGCAGTGGCAGGAGTGGCCCACAGCCTGAGCTCCTAGGAACCTCTGGGGGAGCATCCCTGTCCCAGAAGCAAGAATCCCAGTGGCCCTGTCACATGCCGACTTCTGGACTCAACTGTGTGGGTGGAGGGGAGCTGCTCACATGGACCTGGCCTGGTCTTGGTCCCACCTGAGCTGTGGAGGGGGTGGGAGCTGCTCGGATGGGGAGCTGGGCACAAGGGATCCCTTAGAAAAATCAAGAGGCAGCCTGTAATCCCAACACTTTGGGAGGCCGAGGCCTGTGGCTCACCTGAGGTCAGGAGTTCAAGACCAGCCTGGCCAACGTGGTGAAACCTCATCTCTACAAAAATACAAAAAGATTAACTGGGTGTGATGGCAGGCACCTGTCATCCCAGCTACTTGGGAGGTGGAAGCAGGAGAATCGCTTGAACCCGGGAGGTGGAGGTTGCAGTGAGCCGAGATGGCACCATTGCATTCCAGCCTAGGTGACAGAGCGAGACTCTGTCTCAAGAAAAAAGAAAAATCAAGATGCCAGCACCCCAAGGGGACGTGGACGGACAGGCTGAAACCATGCCCACCGCCCTCCAAGACTGTGTGTTGGTCAGAAGAGGAAACACCTAGCTTCCTGGCTCCTCCCGCTCTGCTACTGCCGGGATGACTTCAGCCCAGTTCTCCAAAGAGCAGCGGGTGACTTACCCACGTATCTCCCGCGTGTCGTCCAAGGTGTCGGCTTGGGCCTGAGTGAACATGGAGCGGCATCAGCCTCTGCAGCCTTTTGTCTGCTCGTCCAGCGCAGTGGCTCTCCTGAGAAAGCAAAGCATGCTTGTTCTCTGCAGAGCCCTGGGGGCTCCTAGTGATTGCCTGCCTTTCGAAGTGCACAGGAAGCAGCTGTTCAATAATCCATCATGACGTTTGGCCAGACACCGACAGAGCTTGTCTCCCTGCCACCCCCTTGTCCAAATGCAGAGATGACCTTTACCCTCTGTCACCAGGAAGGATGCCACGATTGGGAGTTTCTTGCATTAGTTCTCTCCAGGCCTAAGAGATGATCACATCATGGCCAGGCGCGGTGGCTCATGCCTGTAATCCCTGCACTTTGGGAGGCAGACGTGGGAGGATCACCTGAGGTCGAGAGTTTGAGACCAGCCAGACCAACATGGAGAAACCCCGTCTCCCTGTAAAAATACACAGTTAGCCGGGTGTGGTGGCATGTGCTTATAATCCCAGCTAGCTGGGAGACTGAGACAGGAGACTCGCTTGAACCCAGGAGGCGGAGGTTGCAGTGAGCCAAGACTGCACCATTGCACTCCAGCCTGAGCAACAAGAGTGAAACTCTATCTCAAAAAAAAAGAGATGGTCACATGTAGAGCTGCCAGAGGCCTCTCACCAAGCCTTCTCCTTGGCTTCTTTATAATGATATTGATTTTTTCCTCCATTTTAAAAATCCATCTCCTTGAGGGAGGAGACAGAAACCTCATCTCTCTTTATAGAACCATTTCAAAAAGGAATGGAGAGTTGGGATGAGGCCCAGCTGGCCTAGGAGAGGCCACCTGGCTGGGCTGGACACTGGCTGTGGCCTGGCCTGGTCACTGACCCTTGCCTGGGTCCTCAGGGTCAGGAGAGGAAGGGCCATGTCTTTTCAGATCACAGAACACTCTGGCCCCAGTCATGTGTCAGGATGAGAGGCGCGGGCTTTGAACTCATGATTCACTTGGATGTTACGTTTTCTAGATAATATGGCAGCAAGTCCTCAGGCCATCAGAAGAAGGAGGGTAAGATTCCACACCTGTGGGTCACTCACCAGCTGTAGCCCTCTGGCTGGATATGTATCTTGTGACTTAGCTCCTGGTTGTGTTCCGATCGTGGCGCCATCAAGGGACCGTGTGTCCACTGACCTACAGAGGCAGGGGCAGTTGGGGAAGTGCTGGGAGAAGAGGGGGAGGTGGGAATAGATCTCGTCTCCCAGGCCATCCCCTGAGCAGGCCAAGCCAAAAGTGGCTGACTGAAGGTTGGACGGGCAGAATGTTGCATTCGCCATGTGTGAGGCTCACCCTTGGCCAAGGCGCGTGGCTTGTCCTGGTTTTCCAGATGTGGAGGCAGTGACGCATGTTGGTATGAAGTCCCTAGACACCAGAGTATGTTCTAGCTTATTTAAGAACCTTTGATGGTTCCCTTCTGCAACAGAGAGGCTTGTGTGGTGTGATGGAAAGTCAGGCCCTGGACGTGAGCCCTTGGCCACTCTCATTTTCAGGGGACACATGCAACAGCGTCCTCCTGGCTCCACTCTTGCCCCTAGAGCGTATTCTCCTCTCTTCCTGAAACACGGACCTCATCACACATGCAGCCTCCCGCCTAAGAGCTTCAAACGCTCCCCCGTGCTCGTAGATCAAGTTCATAGCTTGGCTTGCAAGAGCCCAAGTGACCCAGGCCCGCTGTTTGGCTTCCTCCTTGTCTACGATCTGATCCCCACAGCCCCCACACGCCACCCACTCGGCAGAGTTTGTTCCCTCGGCCTGGAACACTGGCCCTTGGCACCCTTGGCACCTACACCCCCTTCTCCTGACTCCTGGCCAGCTGCCGCTGAGGCTGTGAAGGTCCTAGACGGCTCAGCCCTCAGGAACTCCCCCGACCTCTAGGACGACCTGAGGCCCCATCTGGGCTCCCCAGGCTTTTGTGCCCTCCTACCATTAGCCCACATCACAGGGTGGTATTGTTTCTCCTGGTTCGATCGTGTCCCCACTAAGTGCCATGCTCCATGGAGGCTGGCACGGTTGTCTTGTTCACAGCTGGGTCCTCAGCGGACAGGACAGGGCTGGCCTGGTGCCCACTGGGTTGGCGGTTGGTGGACAGATGCTTGGGGGATGTGACCTGGGGCAGGGCATCTCCTGAGCCTTGGTCTCCCCCTCTGTACTGGGATCATGTCGTCATGTGCAGGGGGAGGGGAGGGGAGCAGGCAGCACAGGGAGGGGCCTGCAGAGGGGTTTGGCATGGGCCACAGTCTGGAGCCCACATCCCAGCACCTACACCCAGCTTTCAGCTGTAGCCAGAATTGGGTCTCAGCCAGAGTGGGCAGAGGTGACCAGGATAGGAGACTGCAGGGAGCTGGGGGGCAGGGTCAGGAGGTGGTGAGGAGATCCCTTCCCTTGGTCCCCTCCCTTGGTCCCCCTTGACCCTGCATCCTGGCTCGTCTCCACTGGCTCCAACCAGGAACAGCAGCGCAGCAGCCCCCTCCTTCCTGTGGAGCAGGCCGTGGTCCCTGCAGCCTGGGCTCTGCATGAGACTCATCTGGGAGCTGTGAAATGTCCCACGCCCAGGCCACGCCCTAGACTAGTGACATCCACTCCCTGGCGTGGGGCCTGGGCATCAGTATTTCATAAAACTCCCAGGAGATTCCAGTGCATGGCCAGGTTTGCAAGCCATCATTCCAGGTGGTTCTCAGTGACCTGGTTTTTCCTGGAGATGCTCGGCAGCCCGCGGGAGCCTGCCAGCCAGCGCACGGGCAGCGAGCAGCGCAATGGGAAATCTCCCCTTCCCTGCCTCCCTCGACAAAAATCCTCACCAGAAACGAGGAAGCACTTCCTAAAATGTTTGTTTGTTTGTTTGTTTTGTTTTTGCAAGAGTAGCACATGCATATAGCAGGAACTCCAGGCAGCACAGATGGGTACACAGTGAAAGGAAAATCAGTCCTGGCCAGGCGCAGCGGCTCACGCCTGTCATTTCAGCAGTTTGGGAGCCTGAGGAGGGCGGGTCATCGGAGGTCAGAAGTTCAAGACTAGTCTGGGCAACATAGCGAAACCCCATGTCTACTTAAAAAAAAAAAAAAAAAAAAATTAGCCAGTGGCACACGCCTATCATCCCAGCTACTCGGGAGGCTGAAGCAGGAGAATCGCTTGAACCCAGGAGGTGAAGGTTGCAGTGAGCCAGGATGCTGCCACTGTACTCCAGCCTGGGCACCAGAGAGAGAGTCTGTCTCAAAAAAAAAAATCCTGTCACTAACAACAGCCACTGTACCCTGGCTCTGGGACGGCCCTGCAGAGCCGTCAAGTGTCGGTATATGGTCCCTTTGTCACACGTCTGCCCTTCTCACCTTGCTTTCTTAGTCTTCCTCTGCTAGAATGTATTGCTCTACCTGGCTCTTCTTGTTTTGTTTTTGTTTTTGTTTTTTCCAAGACACAGACTCATTCTATTGCCCAGGCTGAAGTGCAGTGGTGCAATCTCAGCTCACTGCAACCTCTGCCTCCCAGGTTCAAGTGATTCTCCTGCCTCAGCCTCCCAAGTAGCTGGGATGACAGGTGCGCACCACCATGCCCAGCTGATTTTGGTATTTTTAATAGAGACAGGGTTTGACTATGTTGGCCAGGCTGGCCTCGAACCCTGACCTCAAGTGATCTGCCCACTGTGGCCTCCCAAAGTGCTGGGATTACAGGCATGAGCCACTGCGCCTGGCCTGCCTGGCTCTTCTTGACACCCACAGAGTATTCCATTGTGGAGAAGGCCTGGTGCCTTCGGGTGGCCAGCTTTGTCTGTCACAGGCAGTGCTGTCACAGGAGCCCAGAGTCTTTGGTCATATGTGTGACTCCGGTGGGATGAACTTGTAGACCTGGAACTCCTGGGTCATCCAAATTGCTGATAGAGCACCATTTCTTGTCATTCCAGAAGTCGCCTGCACCGGTGCCCTTGACGTACGAGCTGCCTGCACTGTATAGGACGGAGGACTATTTTCCTGTGGACGCTGGGGAGGCCCAGCGCCGCCCCCGCACCTGCCCTCCGCCTCTGTGAGCTTCGCGCTCTTCCCCTCAGGAACGCTGAAAGTGGCACCGTGTACATGGAGTAGCTTGGGTTTGTTTTTTTTTATTTTTTTTTTATTTTTTTGTGTTGCTGTTTTATTTTACATTAAAAAAAAATTTTTTTTAACAATGTAGAGATAGGGTCTCACTATGTTGTCCAGGCTGAGCTCAAACTCTTGGGCTCAAGGGATCACCTGCCTTGGCCTCCCAAAGTGCTGGGATTACAGGCATGAGCCACATTGCCTGGCCAGCATTTTTCTGTTGGGGTAACTCTTGCGATTTTGTTTTTTATGAGACACCTGTCACCGAGGCTGGAGTATAGTGGTGTGATCACAGCTCCCTGAAGCCTCAAACTCGTGGGCTCCAGTGATCCTCCTGCCTCAGCCTCCCAAACAGCTGGGACCACAGAAGCCTACCACCATGCCCGGCTGCTTTTCAAATTCATTTTATTTTTTGTAGAGATCGGGTCTCCCTATGTGGTGTTCAGGCTGGTCTTAAACTTTTGGCCTCAGGGGATCCTCCTATTTTGGCCTCCTAAAAGGTTAAGTTGGCACAAACTTTAACTGAAGTATAATTTACGTTACAGAATGGGTCGCCTAAGTGTTTCTCTAAATTTTTCACAAACTGAATGCATCTATTTAAGCCTCAGCAGACTGAGAAACCAATCAACCAACATTATCAGCACTGAGCAGCCCCCTCAGCCCCCTTCTGGTCCATGCCTGTGCCCGTGACCACTGCCAGCCCAGGCTGACAGCATCCTGACATCTAACCATGTGGGCTGGAGTTCCTGGTTTCTTTGCTTTGTGTAAAGACGGGACGAATGGGATGTGTACCTACAGTGTGTCACCTCTTGTCTCTGGCCTCACTGGCTTGATGCTACCTGTGGGAGGTGTCCTGGTTGCTGTGTCCCTGTTGATCATTCATTCTCATGGCTGTGTTGTATTGGCTGGGACTGTTTTTAACGAAGGGAGCTTGGACACCGTGTATGCCCCCAGTGTGCTTAGGGAGAGCAGGCATCGGATGGAAAGTTGGCCGGGCGCTGTGGTTCATGCCTATAATCCCAGCACTTTGGGAGGCCAAGGTGGGCAGATCACTTGAGGTCAGGAACTCGAGACCAGCCTGGCCAACATAGTGAAACCTCATCTCTACTAAAAATACAAAAATCGGGCTGGGCGCGGTGGCTCAAGCCTGTAATCCCAGCACTTTGGGAGGCCAAGGCGGGTGGATCACGAGGTCAAGAGATCGAGACCATCCTGGTCAACATGGTGAAACCCCGTCTCTACTAAAAATACAAAAAATTAGCTGGACATGGTGGCGTGTACCTGTAATCCCAGCTACTCAGGAGGCTGAGGCAGGAGAATTGCCTGAACCCGGGAGGCAGAGGTGAGCCGAGATCGCGCCATTGCACTCCAGCCTGGGTAACAAGAGCGAAACTCCATCTCAAACAAAACGAAACAAAACAAAACAAATCAGCCAGGCTCTGTGGTGCACACCGGTAATCCCAGCTACTTAGGAGGCTGAAGCATGAGAATCGCTTGAACCTAGGAAGTGGAGGTCGCGGCAAGCCAAGATCGAGCCACTGCACTCCAGCCTGGGCAACAGAGCGAGACCTTTTCTCAAGAAAAAAAAAAAAGAGAAAGTTCATGTTAATTTTTTATTTTTTTTTTCTTATTCTTTTTTTTCTTTCTTTCTTTCTTTTTTTTTTAGAGGCGGGGTTTCACCATGTTAGCCAGGATGGTCTTGATCTCCTGACCTGGTGATACGCCCACCTCCGCCTCCAAAGGGCTGGGATTACAGGCGTGAGCCACCATGCCCTCATGTTAATTTTTTAGACAAGCAGTTAAGGACACGCATTTCCAGAAGGGCGAGTGTCTGCTGACTGTTGGGCACTCCCAGACTTTTTTCTCTTCCCAGCCCCTGAAGCAGAGGCCAGGGAGAGTTGGAAGGAAATGCCATGTGATTAAGCCACAGCAACATGAGTGTCCTAAAGCAGAGACCCACAGGCCCCGCGCTAGGAGCACAGCCCTGAGGTTAGCCCGCCTGGCGGCACTGTCTGCTCCCACACCTCTTGGCTGTGTGGGCTGGGCTTTTTCCTTGCCCTCTCTGAGCCCAGGCTCCCCTGTAGTAAGTCATGAGGATGTCTCTGGCCTGATGGGTTGAGGTGAGGGTGACACGAAGTGAGATTTGTGTGTGCTGAACACAGGGCCTGGTGAGGGGCTCTCAGTAGTGGGAGGCTGATGTTGCAGGGACCAGGCAGTGACGGGGAGAGGGTTGACTGCTGGATTTCTCAGCTGACTAGCAGCATCCGAGGGCCTGAAGAGTGAGTGACTCAGGGACTGTCCTTACATGTCAGAGTTAGAAGTCACAGGAGAGTGGGGGCTGTTCTCTCTGGGTTTCCCTGTCCTGTTAGGAGGGGTGAGGTTGCATAGGGAAATCTATGGGCAAATAGTGACAAGCGAACTAGTAGTAGCTATTGCAAATTTCCTAGGATTTGCACTGCCAAACAATGAGTTTTAAGGGATGCTTAGAGACACCTGGAGGGGAAGAAGGCTGGGACACTGAGCCCTGGCACGAACCCCCAACCTCAGTCCTCTGAGCGGCTCCACTGTCCTTGTGCCAGGTGACTTCAGATATGTCCTCATTAAAGCGAGTGCCTGACACTTCCGTTGTCAAGTCAATGATGGCTTCAATTGCTGTGCATTGATGGCCTCTAACCCCTTGGTAAGGGTAACTGCAGCCTAGGAAAGGGTGGTCTGATCTTTTTTTTTTTAAAATAGAGATGGGGTCTCGCTATGTTGTCCAGGCTGGTCTCAACCTCCTGGGCTCAAGTGATCCTCCTACCTTGGCCACCCAAAGTATTGGGATTACAGTGGTGAGCCACAGAGGCCTGCTCATCTTTTTCTTTTGTGGCCGATATTGGACAGTTACACCAGTAGAAAGGTCACTGCAGATTTTTTCCCAAGAGCAAGGCTCTTCAGTGAATCACTTTTCAGTGAAACCCAGCAGATAGGAACTTCGTGCTCACCAAAGCAAGAGGTTTCAAGACAGCAGCCCATGGGGTTGTATCTGATTGGCAGAAATGTGTGGTTTGCCCTGAATTGTTTTAAGAGGTTTTAATGTTGTGACAATTGGGTGACCTTCTGGAAAAAAATAGAGCTCCATACCTCATTCAGCACACCTGGAACAATTCCAGAATTGCACATCGATTAGGAGTTTAATGTATAAAATGAATCTATTGGCCAGGTGCAATGGCTCATACCTGAATCCTTCGACTTTGGGAGGCCAAGGCAGGTGGATCGCTTGAGCTCAGGAGTTCAAGACCAGCATGGGCAACATGGCAAGACCCCTTCTCTGCAAAAAATGCAAACATTAGCCAGGCATGTTGGTGCTTGCCTGTAGTACCAGGTACTTGTGGGGAGGTGGGAGGATTGCTTGAGCCAGGGAAGTTGAGGCTACAGTGAGCTGAGATTGTGCCACTGCACTCCAGCCTGGGTGACAAAGTAATACCCTGTCTTAAAGAGTAAAATAGGGCCTGGCACGGTGGCTCATGCCTGTAATCCCAGCACTTTGGGAGGCCAAGGCGGGTGGGTCACCTGAGGTCAGGAGTTTGAGACCAGCCTGGCCAACATGGTGAAACCCCATCTTTATTTAAAAAAAAGAAAAAAAGGTAAAATAGACCCGATGTGGTGGCTCATGTGTACAATCTCAACACTTTGGGAAACTGAGGCAGGTGGAACACCTGAGGTTGGGAGTTCAAGACCAGTCTGACCAACATGGAAAAAGCCCGTCGCTAGTAAAAATACAAAATTAGCTGGGCATAGTAGCACATGCCTGAGCTGCTTGGGAGGCTGAGGAAGGAGAATTGCTCAAACCCAGGAGGTGGAGATTGCAGTGAGCTGAGATCACACCATTGCACTCCAGCCTGGGCCACAAGAGGGAAACTCTGTCTCAAAAAAATGAAAAAAAAAAAAAAAAAAAAGTAAAATAAAACAAATCTATTGAAGAAAAGGTAAAAATACTGGAGAATTGTACAAAATCAAGAGGTCATAAGAGAAATCAATTTGATTATATATATATATATATATATATATAAATTTTAAACCTCTGCATGGCAAAACCAACAGAAAATCAAAAAACAAAACAAAAGCCGAAACAACAAAATCCTAAGCAAATTGAAAAGATAGATGACAAATTGGGAAAATATATTTGCATCTCATGCTACAAAGGGATAATCTCCCTAAGAAGTGGCAGTAGCAAAATGGGCAAAGGGTATGAACAGAAGCTTCATAGAAAACGCAAAACATGAAAAGATAGCCTCAATGTATGCCAGTAAGTATAGAAAAATATTGACATTACCCCGAGATTTTTCACATTTCAGGCTGGCAAAGTTTAAAGTTTTTGATGACACTTTATTTTTTATTTTTTTGAGACAGTCTGTTTTGTTGCCCAGGCTGGAGTGCAGTGGTGTGATCTTGGCTCATTGCAACCTCTGCCTCCTGGACTCAAGCGATCCTCGCACCTCAGGCATCTGAGTAGCTGGGATTATAGGTGCACACCACCACACCCAGCTAATGTTTGTGTTTTTAGTAGAGATGGGGTTTTGCCATGTTGGCCAGGCTGGTCTCAAACTCGTGGCCTCAAGTGATCTGCCTGCTTCTGCCTCCTAAAGTGCTGGGATTATAGGCATGAGCCACTGTGCCTGGTCTTGTGGGTGACATTTTGAAGAAAAATACTCCAGTGCATTGACGGTGAGACACCATTCTCATGGGGGGAAATTCGCATACCAATCAAAATTAGAGTCCTAGCTACTCGGTAGGCTGAGGCAGGAGGATCACTTGAGCCCAGGAGGTTGAGGCTGCAGTGAGCTGTGATCATGCCACTGCACTCCATCCTGGGTGACAAAACCCCATCTCTTTTAAATAAAAAAAGTCGGGGGGATACGTCCTCGGACCCAGTAATTCTACTAGGAATCCAGCTTACACACACAAGGAAGAAAAGAAATATACAAGGTTAGTCACTCCACAGTGAGATAGCAAAAGATTAGAAAGAACATGGCCGGGCGTGGTGGCTAAAGCCTGTAATCCCAGCACTTTGGGAGGCCAAGGCGGGTGGATAACGAGGTCGAGAGTTCGAGACCATCCTGGTCAACATGGTGAAACCCTGTCTCTACTAAAAATACAAAAAAAAATTAGCTGGGCATGGTGGTGCGTGCCTGTAATCCCAGCTACTCAGGAGGCTGAGGCAGGAGAATTGCCTGAACCCAGGAGGCGGAGGTTGCGGTGAGCCGAGATTGCGCCATTGCACTCCAGCCTGGGTAACAAG